TCATTGAGAACCTTTTTCTCGAGAAACAAGAAGAAGTTGAAGGAAACCCAAACATTTCACACTGAACAGTATTTTCCTTTTAGTCTATTTGCCTTTTTAGTCCTTTTAGTAACTTTTAGCCATTTTAATCCTTTTAGTAACTTTTAGCCATTTTAGTCTTTTTTTGAGCTCGTTTTTAGTTCCTATCTATTCCTGCGATTACTTGATTACCATGGGCTTGCAACGATGAATTTATCCTCCTCTATGAAGGGAGACCTCTCCGTGGTGAGGAGGAGAAACGTTGATGTTTGTTCAAACACAAACACCAACGGCTAACGTCCCTTCCACAATTAAACTTCTAATTTCTTTGTAAATTAGAAGTTCAATTGTGATTTTTCAAGCTCGTATTGTGATTTCACCTCTTTCCAACTAGAAAAACATTTATTGTCGTATTTAAGGAAGCTCGTAGTGAATCAAGTTTACTTTTTTTGGTCAAAAAGTTCAATTTTCGTCCAAAAACCCGATTTTTTCAAAAACCACTAAAACCAAAGTTTTTGAAAATGGATTTTGACTTCACCATTAGAAAGAGCGCACCCGATAACCTATAGGAAATAGTTTTTATTATCACTCTAGCACTCAAACTTTGTGAATAAAACCATATGTCCGCTTGCTCTAGCCATAATTGCCCACTGTGAGACAACAGGTAGATAGAACTACATAACAAAAACAGATGACAACCATTATTCTAACAAATAATCTAACCTTCTGGGTGTAGGACCATTCTTCTACTATAATGCATTTAGTAAACAATTTTTACACTGGTCACAATAGAAATTTAGTCATCCTCCTTAAAAGCCTAGCGCGTGCCGCTCTATCTTTGTTGAAGACATTTACTTTATACATGCACTAAAAATGACAAAAGTACACAAAATATGATGAACCATTCACACCGTGTCAAACGTTTTCTAGCCTTGTTTCACACATCCTGCATCTATCCTACTTTTTGCTATAAATCTCTCATAAAAAACTTTACAATCCTACCCCACCCTGCTTTTTGCTTTTTGCTGTTACGAATCCTGACATTTACAATTGTACTAAGCTTTGTTCCAAAATTTGCATAAAAGCAAAAAACTTAAAAAAAGAATTTCTTTTCTTAACTTTAACGTGGAGCATATTGATTGATGTCTTAATCCTTAATCAGTAGGTATTGTCTAGATATCCGTTAGGTAGCAATTATGTTTATCAATCAATCAAACAAATCTGTGTTTATCAAACTATAAAATTTAACAGGAAGAAGCTCTTTGAGGTATTGCTACTTCTTCCGTATATATAAAAATGGTACGTGTACATACTAGGGGTGGCTCTTTACTTGTTACTCGGTCTTACTTTACCAGTAAAGTAACAAAAATTTGTTACTTGTTACTAGTAACCACTAACAACTACTTTTCTTGTTACCAGTAAGAAAGTAACACATGTGTGTTATTTTGTTATTCTTGGTGAAGTAACAAAGAAGAAGTTCTTCTTTTCTCAGAAAAACCTTTTTGAAAAGGTTTTTGTGAGGGTGAGGTTTTTTTTTTTAGAATTGGGCAAAGATGCCTGTTAAGAGGCATCCTTACAGTAAGGGTTCTGCGAATCGGAGATGAGCGTTACTTGTGTTTTTCTAGTAATACTTTTATTAAGCTTTGTCCTTATTCGACTACAACTTTTATTTAGTAATTCTTTATATTCTTTAGGGTACATATCAAAATTTAAATTCTAATTTATTTTATTTTGTATAATTTCGATTTCTTCGATTGTATTGTTGATGCATACATTGGCATATATATACTTCCAATGTGTTCGTTTAACAGACATCTTTATAAGAGCAGACATTTTTCTGTTTCAAGAAGCAAATCACAAAGTAACAAATTTTATATTTTCATCAAATGTTCAACCTTTTATGTAACCTTTTCGGTAATCCATAGACTGATGTCGCCAGAGATCAGTCAACGTTAATAACAAAAACAGTTATACATTGATGGATAATGAAACCTACAGAATATAGATGATGTACCGTAGCGCGTCGATTAGAAATGCTTCACGCTCCCTTGAGATGTTCAAATTAAACTCCTACGGGTTAAACTTTTCTGTTGCCCTAAGCTCGAACACAAAAAAGTTTTTATCCAGTCCCATAATCCTGAGCAAATGTGTTGTCCCGAACCTATCCATCCGGTGAAAAAAACTTACGGGCCTTTTTGTTCCTTCCCGTTTTCCTTGTAATTTTTTGGAAAAATTTTCCTGTTGAGGTAGACAGAACTTGTTATAAGAGAGTTATAAGAGACACTTAAAGTGTCAAGCTTATTGTTGCAAAATCCGCAGGACAGAATTTAGTCTAATTTATTTGATTCTAAACTTAACAGTTACTGTTTAAAACGACGCTTTACATCCACTCACTAGGTCAGAATCGAAAGAAAGAACTGTAAACCGAGTTTTAGATATGAAACATCTTCTGAGATTTAAATTCAAGCTATTTTGCCTCTCTAACTTAATTTTTATTAGTTATTATAAAATTACGATTTTGAGTTGATGTATTACAAGGATTAAACATTTGAAGTTGCAACATAAACACAAGCAAAAGACAAAACTTATGGGATAACATTTTTCTGCGATGTGTCCCGAAGCCCGAGTACGTGAACTTTTATTTCTTGCCCCGGGCTCGTGAGCCCAAGCCTATAAAGCTATTTTTTGTCCTGAACCCATTCACAACATATTTTAGATAGTCCGCTAACGAAGATCCACGAAAAAGGGCGTGAGGGTTGTTTTCATTCAAAAGTCATGGAAGGTCCGTCGTAGATATAAGTCCAGGGATCGAGTAAGTGCAGCCGAGAGTTAACTTGTAAGACTAAAACAAGCAAAATAAATATGTACTCAAAAGAACACTTATTTTCTTTCGTCACTTTATTGTTTCGATGAATGGCTTATTTTTTATCGTGTCTTCGTTTTATACACTAATAGATGGCGACGAAGCCCAAAGTAGAGTCGTTTTTTTGTTGTCGATGTACTCTTCATTCATCGGACTGAAATACATGTAAATGGCAAGCAAATGACATGTGAATGATTATGTTCGCTTCTTCTTGAAGTGAATGAGCGAAATTCATATATGTGGTAATCAGTGAATAACTAGCGAATACGCAGTATACTCCATTTACTATACAGAAGCGGGTGCTTGAGCACAACAGATAGAATGTAGACGTTTTTCAGCTGTTAAGCATATGAGCAAACATTTGACGAAATATTAGCTTCATGTGCTTAAACTATGTACTGGAAGTACATGCTTTAACCCACTGTATGAATAAACTATAAATGGCAAAAAAAGCTTTTATAGTGTACTTAATAGTGTAAAACTACAAATAGTGTACAAAAGGTTTGTCCTGTATGTTTAAAGTTGCGTCAAAACAGCGTAGTGATAATTGATGTCACAATTCGATTTTCAACAATCTAACATGCATGTTACAGCAATGCGGTTCATTACGATGCTAACTGTTTAACATGTAATGATTATTCGGGCTATAATCCTATTATAGCAGGATTTTATAATCAACAAAGTTTTTGTCCAAAATAATATAAAGTATGTGAATGATTCATGTTTTTTGATGTTATCACCGGAATGACTATCAATATTGTCACATGTTTAAACACCTTCGTATCTGACAATTTCTTCCTGATCAGCGATGTTTTTGCCTCTTCGAAAATTTTCCCACTGGCTTAGCTTTATATGTGTGTGTAGTTTTTCTACTTCACACACCATATGTGGTACATTGATAATCAAGACATCTAAATAGTTAGAATCGTAAAGAATTTAATTGTCTTACTTGTCAGATTATCAGAAATTGTAGCATAGAGCACAATGGCTGTACGTTTTCTTCAGGTATTAAAAACTATAGGTATATACAAAAGAAAACAGGAAGCCATAATAATAATAATTATTAAGTTGAAGTGTCTCATTTAAAATTTGCATTTTTTAATTAAAAATACATATTGAGAACAGGTGCAATATAATTTCTTCTGCGATTACATCAAGAATATGTCGGCGATAAGTCCAATAGTAAGTAAACAAAGTTATTATATTAGTCGATTATATGTTAGATAATTACAATCTTATAAGGAAATGAAGCGTAAAACTTTTGCGTTCAATTATCCTGCTCTGCTTATTACGTTTAAACTATGTCATTCTATTTTTTCTGAAATTTGTAAAAAGAATATAGCAGTATACATGTTTATTAGCTAAGCATATCGCCGATCTTAGTCCATCCACGAAGTTATCTAAAAGAACAATGGCAGGCGCAAAAGAATGCAAAATTACAGTTACAGGAAGAAACTATAGAATCTTATGTTTATTCAACACAAAAGCAAAGTTCACCTCAAATTGATAAAGGTGATTCGAGTGTTACTTCTGAGACACAGCGCTCGCTGCTAGATCAGAGTTCATTGAAATCACCATGGTTATCTGCAACAATCATTTCACATAAAGTCAATACCCCATTACCAGACGAAACAAAAAAAACATCTGATGTACAGATCTCGTCACAAAAGTAAGAAATGATTGACGTAGATTTTTCTACGTGTCATGTGGAAAGAAATATCTCATATATATCTTTGTAGGCATGCTTTTATAATTCGTGTATGGAAATCAAGATTTACCAGCTGTGTCTTAGGACAGTTATGTTGTCTTGCAGTGATAGTTCCAATTTTAGTATTGTGGCTAACACAAGGTAAAAGTCAACCGCAATGCATAATTAATACATATGCCATTTTTAATTTAGCTTCGACAACTAGTAAAACAGAAAGTAAGCAGCATAGCTAGCGCTTGTTTAAATTTTTGAGTACAAAGTCGAAATAGTATTTACTTTTAGCCTGCCTTACATTCGATGACATATCTAATATATCAAGTTTTGCTCAGATACCTGATTGGTACGGCTATTTGTATTGGTCAAATATGTATTATTTGAACACAACTGTATTAAATACAACTAATAATCCAACTGGATATTGGAATGTACGTACAAGCGGTATGTTCGTAGCGTTTAATGGTTTCGATAGTCTGATGTCTGTTAGTGGTATTAGCAATGCTACATTCACTCTCAACTCATTTATGGCTGCATCCAGTTGTTATAATGATTTGTCAATGAATATAGTCGGTTATTGGTCCAATATAGTTTTGTATAATACCACTATAACGCTCCAAATTGATCCCGCGATCTTAGTCACATTAAACTGGGCGAATATTAGTACTGCCACGTTTGTTACATCCGGAGGTACCCTGAAGTTTAGTTGCGCACTTAAATCACTGGCAATAGATAATCTATGTGTTACACATTAACGGACATATGCTGTTTTTTGCTTTGCCTAGATGATCTTGTTCAAAGTTTTGCCCATTGTGTCAGAATCTAACTTTTTATATCGTGATCAAGGTCTAAAAAACATTTGAAAACTGTTCTCTAACACTTGACAAATCATGAGGTTTTTTCTATGTTCCTTTGCTTTGCAAATTTTATTGGAATTGAAGAAACGTTGTTTACAGTGTGACAGATTGAAAATTCTGAGATTCAATTTACATACAACGTTTGTCTTTCCATACACTTTGATCAGCTTCGGTACTGTTTCTATCGTAGATATACGGCACATCTCTTGTACTATTTATACCGTATTATCAGCTGAAAATTTCGTCAGATTCTGGTTAAATAATAACCTTCAATTAAGCAGAATTAGCTTTAAGTCTTGATCAACAGTTTTCAAGGCAGACTCTTTTAGAAAAACTGTGAATCTTGTTGAACAACATTTTATAAGTAGAATCCTTATGCTATGTGATGAAATTTGATCACGTTTTTGTGAGACATTTGTAAAACGGAAAAGATGATACTGAACTCCATGATACTCCGAGAACATCTGCGAGTGGTGGACTCGGATAAACTTTAGGAACTCTAAAAGCCCCACGGAGTTTTGTTCTGCAGATGAATCTAATATCATGCTTTCAGCACAAACTATCGCAGGTAACACGTTCTCATAAATATAGACAACAGTGTTTTCCCATTCTTGAGTAGATTGTAGGGTTGTTTGTAGTTTACTTAGATAATAAAAACACGAGAAAAACGAAAAAGCACATATAAAGAAAATAAAAAATATCGTGAGATCGATGACTATATAAATGGATAGTGATGTATGAAATGATGATGAAATACTCGGATAAGATTCAATTGGGTTGACTGTTGTGAATTATAATTGTCTATTACAACTTTTTTTTTATTTTGGTGCTTAATCTTTTTTCCTAATATCTTTCATCATATAACATTGAACACGTTTTAAATGTTTAATATTTATATTCAATCGATGTTTCTCAACTATTAATATTCTTCATTTTTAATGAAAATTCATTACCATTATTTAAATTCAAATCAGATAACGATAAATTTTCGTTGTCATTGATGCAACATTCTTTTATTGATTTTAATATAAAACGTGTATATTCGTCATCAGTCATAGTAACTGTTGATGTTGTTTCCACACTTGTTGTTGTTGTTGTGGTTATGGATGATGATAATGATTAATTTGAATTACTTGCTGTTGTCGTTGATTGATACTTTAATTTCATTTATATTTGTTTTAAATGTTCATAGTTTTCTATTGGTAGTAATTCTTTCAAATAATGAGTATTACTTTCAATATCTGGTTTAACAAAAAAGAAAGAAACCATCTATTAATATAAATGATATCTTCTTTGAAATATGAATAAAACTGGAACCATCAAAATTCTGAATTAAAAAAACTTCTTTTGTTGTTAAGAATGAATGACTGACTACAGTTAATATGCTGCCTTTTTAATAATTCGACTTCAATTTCGCTGCATATATTACATACAATATCATAAAAATTTTTTTATCATTCTAACATGATAAAGCATTCGGTGGTAAACTAGTAGTATCAATGAGGATTTTTGGCATAGCTTATTTACGTCTTTAAAAAGCTCCAGAGACAAGGAACGAAGCTGTTTTCTCTACTAATAATATGTCCTGTTGCAATGATCCGACTTGAAACTTGCTTTGCATTCAGATTCAGAATGATTATAGCAACATATGTTTTTCTCTTGTTAAAACCATACAGTATTTAATAATGTCAGTGATATGATCTCAAGCTATGTTAATTTAAAATTTTATCTTTACACATTGTAAGAACATTATCTGGCAGAACAAATTGATCGTATGCTTGACTATTATTCATATCAAAGAAAACCAACTGAAAGTAATTTATAAAATAGAATTAAAATAATTTAGAAACTATTTCAAAAGAGACTACCGATATCATGAGAGACAGGTAGTTGAACTGCGATGTGTATATGAATAAACATTAAGATATTTAGGGCTGTTTTCTTCTCTATTACTGACTGCTTTTTTATGACAAGCAAAAATCCTTCATACACAGTCTGCGTATGAAGAGAGTATTTTGATCTGATCAAAATACTCTCTTCTAAAAAATAATAAAACAAAATTTTTGAATCTCTGCAGTAAGAGAATGTTTTTTAAGCAAACAAATATTATATTGCTTTTCTTTTGGGAAAACCTAGAACTGGATGGTATACGCGTTTACTCTCTAAAAAAATTAACAAGTGGTATACCCAATGAAGGACTTTTTATTGTTGTAAACTATAACTTTTAATGAGATGTCAAGAAATTTGAATAATAGAACATTCTTCGATTTGAGAAAGAAACATGTTTGCAATTATTTTTTCTTTGTGTTCTGTCGAATCACATTTTTTTATTCTTGGGTTGCTTCTACCTATTCTTACTTTTACATCGTTTACAATTTTTGCCATCTCGCAGAAAAAATGTTCATGTGCTGTGTCAAGAAGATGTTTGAAAATAGCAGATTTCTTTGGTATAGCAGCGAGAGATGAAGAATCAGCACTGTCCTTGGCGTATTTACGATGCTGGCGGTACTTGCGACCGCCGGCACCGAAATTTTTGATTTCATACTATTTTACTCTCCTCTTTGTGCTACGTGCCGAGCGCACAGAACTTTTCATCAAATTGTGTTGCTCTTTTGTACAAATCCGGCAGTACCGAAAATTTTTTCTAGTTCCACCACTGTCCTTGACTAAAGGTCACGAGAGTACAGTATGCAGCCAAGCAGACATTGGGGAAAAAAAAACGAAAGTGAGATTTTACGAGATTTGAATAGGATGTCATATACTTCGGCAAACGCTCTATCCTTTTGCCAATGGAAGCTTTTTGCCAAGTGCGAACCCTGGTCAGAAAATTGCGAAGAAGAATTAGACCGAAAACAATGGTACTATTAGAAAACTGGATTATGCCCAAATCTGGGCAACCGTTTAGAAAACAAACACATACTCAGAATCTACAGCAAATTCTCTATCGATTGCTAGAAAAAATTTTGTCTCAAAGTTTATCATGACCCCTCTCTCTTAACTAGGCGTTTTTTTTCAAAGATGTCTTCAGAATAGTGAGTGCGCGCAATTTAGCGCAAGTAAAAATTAAACGAAACTTTCAGGAAATATTCTCCACCATCCAGCACATCTACATGGTTAGCATAAATTAGCATAAACACTCCCAGCCGGAGTTATAAGTTTTCCAAAAAACCTGATTTTCTCGGGATTTTTGATGTTCCAAAGCAGTTTTTGTGAAAACTAATAACATATTCGTAATCAGCACACAAAACTGCATTGAGTGAAGTGCAATTGAACGAATTTTGAATGAGACATTTTCTCAAAAAAGTAGAATTCACTAAAATGCGGCTGTTTACGTCCACAATGACGTTAAACTAGATTACTGGTGTTGATTATTGGAATTGTACGGTTAAGGTTAAGGATTCGAACTTGGATACTGGAAAAAGTGATTTATGTGATTGTACCAGACTCCCGTTCTGCGTGCGACGGTCTACTGAGAAGAGCAGAAGAACAAGGATAGTCGAATTCGCCTTAGAGAGGCCCATGACGTTACGGGATAAGGCTTGGCCCTCAAAAATCAGGTGTGCATCAGGTTAGCCAGACTTGGGCCAGGCATCGGTTTCCCTTTAATCTCATACATGGGTGTCTCTGGGAGGAAGATAATGCGCAGGGCGACTGACGGCTCTGCATTCCGCGTATAGATGTATGGTTTATCATCATCTATGGATAGCCATCTGATTTGAAGATAGGATGGTCAGGATGATGGGCATGGTTCTTCCTTCGGAAGTCATGTTTTTTGCCATGGCTTTCTAGAGTACAGTCTCGTTAAAAACCGGGAGTGCAGACTCGTTAAAAGCTGGGAATGCAGTCTCTTTAAAATCTGCGAGTACGGCAGACTCTAAAACTATCAATATTGCGGACGAAACGTCCAACACACTAACTCAACACCAACTTTTCGACATCCACAACAGTTGTGATAAAAATGCAAATGCAGCAGTGTCGAAAATTTGTAGTTTTTTGGATGTCGACGAGACGAGAATAAAACGAATATTTCCAACTCGATACATAGTCACACTGTAAAGAGTAGGAACAGAGATTTCGATACATGGAAGGAAAGAAGCAGTAAGCAAAGAGAAACGGAGTTTGCACAAGTCATTCTTAATAAAAGCGATTTGAAACAACGTCTAAAAACACCGAAGTGACCCACTCGTGATTTTTCGGCAGTTAGTTCACGGCAAAAGCATCGAAAATTGAACGATCTAAACGCTACACTCGACGATTTTACTGCTTGCAATAACTTCACGGTGAACCAAATTTTAGGTCACTTACTCTACCAAAGAGATTATTTAGGAAATAAACGGTTAGCAGAGCTCGGTAAAGAACTTTATGAAACAGAAACAATAGCTGATGCAACTAGTGAATTAGGCATGGACTCTAATTTAGCTTTGAAATACCATTTAGCTCTTTCTGAAAGACAGCTAGACTTTGCTAAAAGCTTTTTAACTTCATATGTAAGACTTCCAAGCAGAATGTATTTAAGAAATTATGCTAAAACGTTACTTCCAGAAATCGCTACCTGAAACACGACTCCGTGTTATTTGGAAACCGGCGTGTTTGTGATATCCCGAGAAGATGTTATTGAATTAATTGTGAAATTGTGGTTTTTAGTTATACAGGTATCCCTAAGGCTTCTGTTTATCAGATGTTATAAGTTACTAAACGTTTACTTTCTTTTGTGATGTCCTTGCTTATGCAAAATAAATTTAAACTTTGAACTTGAACTAAAAGGCTTATAGACATGCTTGAAAAGTAAAATATTACGAAGGATTTGAAAATTCGTAAAATTGAGTCAGGTTTAGGCGGAGCCGACTGCTTACTGTGTATTTCTGGAAAAGCAGATTGGAAGGGCGAAGTAAAAATTCAAGATCCCGACTACTTTGTTATAAACCGCAGCACTGTAAAAACTCTCGATCTGTATAAAAAGTTACTTAAGGACGATGGCGAGTTAGAAAAGGCTAAAGACGATTACAATGTAAGACAAGGGCTTACAAGTATACGTCAAAAGCATGTACAACCATTACATCACCATCACACACCAGTATATCAACGGAGTCAGTTGAGTGTTGAAAATTATTTACCACCTGCGTAACTCCGTTTTGAATTGAAGCGAAAGAGGTGAGGTAAAAGACTTGATTAAGAAACCGTGTAATACGGTTCTCCAAGAACTTGAAAGTAAAACTGATCTGTGGTTAGACAAATGTGCGGTGACAGGTAACACCGAAACTTCTACTAGACGTGGACAAGGAAGGCGCTTCTTTTCGTATGAGCTTAGAAACATCATTGTCAACAGTAAATAATTTCCAGTGATTAGGTCAATCATTTTATTTCCTTTTAGTTAGCCTCATGAATTGCGCCATTTTTTATTGATTTAAACTTTTTTTCGTGCTCGCTCGCTTTTTGCTTGTAAACGCTATGCGTTTAAATAAACCCTAAGGACCTACCCTATTATCTATCACCCATTTGTTTTAGACGCCTAGTGAATTGGCCAATAATTTCTGCGTTCAATCCTTATAGCTGAATAAATGATTTATCCAATTTTCTTAGTGGATTTACGTAATCAACGATGGTACAGACAAAATGACTTTTTTTCCCGCTACCAACCCCTATCGCTAACTCTGGTATTATGTGATGTAAATTGTATCTAAAGTAAGATTGATAGAAGAGCGGCAGGCACAAATTTTGATAAAAAGAAGAAAGTTTTAAACTACTTTATTGATGTTAAAAATTGGATTTCAGAAAACATCATTTTCACACTACGTGTCCCGTCATTTTTTCCGTTTTATTTTTTCAATATCTCTTGAAACTATTGACCGTTTGGTCAATAGTAAGCTGATCGTTCAAACGATCGCCTTTATAGTCTGATGTGATTTTTTCATGTGATGAAAATTTAAACGTAATATTTCTCATCGCTTCTGAAAAAACTGTTTTACTGCGAAAATGTCCCCGTGCTGTTTTTTGAAGCAAAAGTGTCCCGTTACTTTACAATAGCAAGAACTCCATGAAAAACTGAAATAATCTGCACTTATTATGCATCATCCGATTCGTCTTTGGAAGACCATTCGACTATAGTCATGAGAAGTCTTGATA